CCTGTCCAAGTACCCCCCAACCTTAAAGGGCCAAGAGAGGGTCTCGCTTTGGAGCCTGCTCCTCTGCCTGTTCAACCCCTTTCTGATTTCCCGGGGGGTGGGGTGGGGGGTTCCCCTTTGGCTGCTGCCCCCCTCCCCTGCCAGAAGAGATGCTCCGTTTGGAAAGACAGGTGCTCAGTTCCCCAAATCGTCCCCCTCCACCCCGCCCCGGTCCCTCTTGTCTTCTCCTTCCGCCCCCCCCCCTTTCCCCCCCCCCCCCCCCCCCCGGCAAGGCAAGAGGGCAGGGTGACTCGAAGCTGCTGCCAGAGGAAACGGCTCCTGCCTCCGTTGCATGTTAAGCACCTTCGGGCAACGTGCCTGGAATGCGGAGGCCACCAGAGAGGCTGGCGTGGCGTGGCCATGGGGGGGGGGGGGGGGGGGGGGGGCACGGGGAGGGACCTTTGCGGGGGGGGGGCGGGGGGGCAAGGGGCAGGCAGGCCCTTCCTTGCAGGATCAGGCTTCCCGTGCCCGCTTTAGAGGACCAAGAAGGCTTGGCACACACCCTCCTTCCCATCGAGGTGGCATCCGGTTCCCCATTTTGGGATTATTGAGGGCAGGAAAGGTTTGAAGAGGATCTTGCAAAGGCCAAACCAGTTGCAAATGCAAATGCGCCCCCCCCCCCGCCCCCCAAAGCCAGGGGGGGAGGGCCTCCCCGGGCCTTCCCCCCCGGGGATTTGGGGGCCGGGGGGGGGGGGGGGGGGGCTTCCAGCTCTTTCTAGCAGCATCGTTTTCCTTCTGTTCTTTTTGAGTCATTTCTCTCATTGGGACCCCATGGAAAAGTGCTGCCCCGGAACAGCGGAACCACCCCGGTTGAACCGTCTTCCCAATCGAAATCACAATCGGAAACGTTACACACTTCCGGATATTTTGGGGCTGCTGGGATAAAGGGTTTTCCAACCCAGGAAAATCTGACCCTGCCCTGAGCAAGGTGGGGGTGGCCTAGAGGATCTCTGAAGGGCCCCACTTTCCTGTCCGAAAAGGCTCGTCGGGAGGCGAACCAAGATGCCCCCCCACTCCCCCCCCGCTTTGCTCACGTAGCGGCTGATGAATCCCGAGCTGCGTTTACGAGCCTCTGATTAATATGCAAATGCCTCATTTACTTAATTCCTTTTTATTAAGAATCAAGCAGGCGACTTTGAAGACGGAGAAGAGGCCGATTTCCCCGGCTCTTCGGAAATGGGACGGCAGAGACGGAAATGTTCCCTCTGCCACTTTTTTTTTTTTTTTAAACGGGGGGGGGGGGGGATTCGGGATACAATCCCACTTTGGGAGGGGTGCGTGTGTGTTTGGATCACATTACAATTCGCCAGGGGCACAATAATTTAGCATGGGGCGGGGCCAAATCTGACAGCTAAGTTTGTTTTAGAGGGGAGGGCCTGCCAATGCCCCACCCCTGCTGATGAAGCTCCACCCTCTGCGGCTGATGCCCCGCCCCTGCTGATGAAGCTCCACCCTCTGTAGATGATGCCCCGCCCCTGCTGATGAAGCTCCACCTTCTGCGGCTGATGCCC